CGTCCCACTCCTGGTTTCGGCTCAGATCATGATGTTATGATTTGTGAGTTCAAGTCCCACCTAGGGCTCTGTGTTGATGGTGTGGAGCCTGCTTGGGATTCTCTGTCTCACCCCCTCTCTCTTTCTGTCCTTCCTCTGCTCGCAATCACTTGCTCTCTCTGCTTCTTTCACTCTCAAAATAAATAAGTAAACTTAAAAAAAATATCTTAAGTGATCTAAACAAAAAACCTATTTATCATTTTCCTGGCCTAGATTCTGATGCCATTTTACATATACACAAAGTGGTGTTTGCATGATTTGTATATATACTAAATTTTATAGGATTTAACAGCATAAAATTGGATTGAAGGTTGTACTTTGCTTTGTTTAAAATTTGAGCAAGGTTTGTTCACCGTTTCAGAAAAGCACAGTACCAAAGCCAATATTGATCATGGTTTTGAACCCCAATGTATCACATGGGCTTCAGCCTTTGTTCCTAGTGGTCTGTTAATGGCAATTTCACATAAAGATGCTAACGTATCACTGTTTCATTATGTCTTACAGTGAAGCTTATTGTATTATAGGCTACTTTCCTTTTATTTCTCCCCTATAGTTACGCCGGTATACTGACTTTAAAAATTATGTGTGTAGGTAAAATATATGTACTCTAAATTTCATTTCAGGAGAGCAAGAGAGTTGTTACAAAGGACTTATTTTCAAAGTGTGTGGAAGAAGTGATATGATTGAGAATGACTGCCCTACAGGGCAAAACATACAAATACACTGATAATTTTAGCATTTTTGCTTCATCATAGCAACATAAGGGGCAGCCAGGTATCATTAGTCAAGGCCTTGAGTAATGCAAACATAAATTTTTATAAAATTACTCTTTCTCTGCAATCTATTTTCCAGTCCACTTTTTTTCAGCTGCAAAGGAGAAACTCAGGCTAAAGAAAATGCTATTGGTTAATGAGATGCTGAGGGAAATAATGCTTTTCACAGAAGCTTTCAGAATAGGGAACATGTAGGCAGGGAGGCTGAGGGTTTGCTTAGGGCAAAACCCAGCAGGGAAGTTAGTGGATAGGAGAGCAAGAAGAGTTGAGTGTGTGTTTAGTGCCCCTTTGATAGACACTGCCATGTCTCTCCTTCTAGAACTAAGTGGATAAAACATCCAGCACAGAATGCTTTCTTCCCCAACCAATGGAATCTGACAACATGGTTTAAGCCCTAGAAGTAAAATTAAAGATTTACTTTAATAAATTAGGGAATTGTGTTGAAGGTTGCTAGGTGACAAAGGTCAGGAAGGTTGCTAGGGGCAGGGATCAAAACTGTTTTGGACCGAATAAATGTCTGAGTCTCCTAGAAACTCCAGAGTGATCATTATCTTAAAATAAGTAAATAAGCCAACAAATACAGGCTAGACAAATACACACCCTCAGTCACTGGGTGAGGAGAAGAAAACCAAAATAAATGACAACAAAACAACAAAACAAACCAGAAAAGCATTATCCTAAAGTACAGGCAGACCAGGCAGTAGTCCTGAGAGCCAATCATCTACTTCCCCTGACATCCATCATCTGCACCCTCCACCCCAAGTCTTGTCACCATGATATTAAGTAGGAGCTGAGCTTTGAGAAGACCAGTGGGTGGTCCGGGCCCTACAGGATGGGAAGCGTCAGCCACCAGTTACGATCCAGGCCTAGGCCAGGATATCCCAGAGTATCAGGCAGCCCTTGAGCAACCATGAACGGAATGGCCTGCTACGGCTACCTCACTTTGTAGTGCAGGCCCCTGCTTGATACATTAGTGAGCATCCCAGAGCGCCTATGAGAGGCCTTTGGCATTGGCCTTCATGGCCAGGCCCCCTCATTGCTTGCCTACCAGCATATCCTCTGCTATCCCCAAAAGAATCCAGAATTCCGGTTTGCCACATGCTTTTACTTTCTCCCACTTCCTTTGTTCAGGACACCTGGATTTTATCTGCAACAATGGATATATTCTACCCCTCCTTCGAGGTAATAGATAGTGGTCTTCTCTCCCTCCTTCCATCTAGCATCCTCAGCATTTCATTTCCATCATTCACTTGGGTCTAGATTTACCTTCAGTTGTCTGTGAGCAAAATGCTAGAAGCTACTGTTAATATGAAGCAGGAAAGTTGCAGGTTATCTTGCATGTGTACATATCATTAGCTTTCTTTTATTGAGGAGAAAACTCAAGAAAGATGTAACTTGCCCATGGTCATTTATCGAGTAGGGGGTGCTACTGGATTTGAAGGTTGGTCCAGCTGATAAGCGCTGTGCACTGCAGCTTCCTTCAGAAGGACCTGGAGAGCAGAATCTTTTATATTCCCAGGTCACAGAGCACTTCCCCTTTGGTACTCTCATTAGACACAGAATTAATAGTCCAGTGTGCGCCTTCTCCATTAGACTGTGGGGTTGACGGGGACAGCAATGGTGTCCATCTTGCTTTCCACTCTGCCCCTGGTGCCTAGTGGCACGCCTGCTACAAAGGACAAATTCCTCTAATACTTCTACTTCTTACAACTGTGCCTCCGTGCTTTTACAAAAGCGCAACTGGACCCCTTGTGTGTAAGTACAAAGTGTCCGTTTCCAATCACTCAGCAGATAAAGTCAATCTCAGAAACTATAGAAAGAGAAATGAAAACCTTTCCCACTGAAAGTATTTACTGGGTTCAAAACACATATGAAGTCTTCTCTTGATAATTCTGCATCATCTACAATTAGTATTAGCTAGGCACACAACTATCTCCCTAGATAGACTACATATCAAAACTTTCATCTACTTAGTGTTTAGGAACACTTATTATTATGTACATACATTATTATTTAGTGGAAATTCTGAAATTTAAAAGTCATTGGTAATATGTTTATTATTAATTAAATCTCTGACAGAATACAAAGGGCAAGGAAGAATAAAATGTCCCCATATTAAGAGCAGAATTATGCAAACTAGCCGAACACCAGAATGATTACATTAATTGTGGTACATCCATACAATGGAATACCATACAATGAAAATGAGTTAACTATTATACACCCAATGGTAAAAATGATCTCATCATGGAACTTAAGTGAAAGTAGCCAGACACAGAAAAGTGATAATGTCCATGTATATAAAGTCCAAATTTGATGTTAGAAGTGAAGAATATTGATTACTCTGGTATTAGACATAGTAGTGATAGGGAGGGAGCCCAGGGAGCTTCTGGGGTGCTGGTAATGCTGCATTTCTTTCTTTTTTTTTTTTTTTAATATTTTCATTTATTTCTAGGAGAGAGAGAGAGACAGCGTGAGCAGGGGAGGGTCAGAGAGAGAGGGAGACACAGACACTGAAATAGGCTCCAGGCTCTGAGCTGGCAGTCAGCACAGAGCCCGACGCGGGGCTCAAACCCACGAACCGCTAGATCATGACCCAAGCGAAAGTCAGACGCTTAACCGACTAAGCCGCCCAGGCGCCCCTATGCTACATTTCTTGATCTGGGTGCTAGCTCACAAGTGTTCACTTTAAGAAACTTTATTAGGAACATATGAGTTGTGCAATTCCCTATATGTGTTATGTTTTAATAAAGTTTACTTTTTAAAAAAGTTCTCCATAGTACCCACACTGGTGGAGCTATTTTTATATTGCATCTTACATATGTAGTGGTAGATAAGATACTTCTCTGTGCACTCCTGTCTAACCTACATTTTCTTTAGTGACTTTGCTGTTTACTTACTTATTTATGCTTGTGTATCCTGGGAACTAATTGGAAGACTTCCGAGCCTACTACTCACTATTTGTGAGTTAGATGTTAAAATTCAAACATTTACTCCAACACGTCCAAAACACATATGTGACTTAAATATGGGTTTTCCTATCCCTTTGTGAATGTCCGATTCATATCTTAATGTAGTCTACACTCTAGTGACATAAAGGAAATGAGTCCTTAGCACAGAACTATCTACATACAAATCTTATTAACTTGATTGGTCAAAAATCTAAATTAAAAAAAAAAAAAGACAAGTAAAGTCACAGACGCTCTTTCCAAACACTACATTAAATATAACATCATTCTATTTAGTACTGAACTTCAATTATTTATTTTTTTTTCTTTAAATATTTTATTTATTTCTAGGAGAGAGAGAGAGATATTGTGTGTTTTGGTGTGTTTTAGAGAGAGTGTGATTCATATACTGAAATAGGCTCCAGGCTCTGAGCTGGCAGTCAGCACAGAGCCCGATGCGGGGCTCGAACCCACGAACCGCGAGATCATGACCTAAGCGAAAGTCGGACGCTTAACCGACTAAGCCACCCAGGCGCCCCTGAACTTCAATTACTTAAATCAATTTTAGAACATAATTAACATTAGCTCACCAATATCTTCCATATCATATTGAAGTTGACAACTGGAATGAACCGTTTTAAAAATAAATTTTATTAGAATGTTAAATTGCATAGTTATGAAATGTATGCACGTATATGTGTGCATACATGTGTATGTAACTGGTGCCAGTTATGCAAAATTTCCCATAACATTTGCTTAAGTAGGGAATGAGCCTGGCTATGTACGCTGTCATGTTCACTGCATCCAAATTTTGTTTTAGTTATAATAGTTTTAAGGGGACTGGCATCTCCAACTTCCTCTGCTTCTAAGGGGCTACTTTAATAATAATGATAATAATAACAATAATAATAATATCCAACTAAGCAAAGATGGTATGAACTCCTTGAGGACGCTAAATAATCTGCAATGAAGAAAGTAAATAAAATGGATACAGATCATTCAAACGAGAAAGGTCTAGAACTCTTCTCCCCTTTCCATAACCCCAGCAGGAAGTTTCCAGTGCAAAGGGACACCCTAGGAGGGACGCGATGAGCTCTCCAGGGAGGCCTCCCTTTCCCACCTGAGCCCAGAGCTCTCCCGGGACCCGGAGGCGTTGAGCTGGGCGCCCCTCGGGCGGCGGGAGGCGGCGGAGCGGCGGGCCGGCAGGCTCGCAGCGCCCGTGCCCCGGGCGGGAACTCACCACGAGGGCGCAGCACAGCAGCTGGTTCATTGCGGTCCCCGGGAAGCCTCAGGCGCTGGGCGGCGGCGGCGGCTGGGCGAGCGCTCCTGTGCGTCTCCGCAGCCCGTGCACTCATCACGTTATATATAGCGTCCGGGCGACAGGAAGTACCCGCTTGGCTTTGATCATTCATTCTCTATCTGGACCCAACTCTGCACCTTTCTTTTTTAGGAACTTGGGCGGGAGCCGTGGGGTGTGCGCCGAACTCCGGAGTTAACGCTTTCAGAGCCGGGGCGGAAAGAACCGCCGGGAGGGGTGGGGGCAGGAGCAGGGGGTGGGGCGGGGATGTCTGGCCCTCCCAGGGAAAGAAAAAAAAAAAAAAAAAGGCCACTAGGCTGCGAAACAAGGAGGCCGCTGTCTCCGCGCGGCCCTGAGGTTTCCTGGCCGCTTCCCGCCAGCGGGCGGCCCCCTGGCAGCCGCCACCGGCGTTGGGAGGGCCGGGCACACGCTGGGGCACCGCGCTGCCCTCCTCCGCCGCCCTGCGCCGCCGCCCCAGCCGAGACCCGGGCCCAGCCCGGCGTGTGTCCCCCACACTTCACCCCCTCTTGTCCGGGCCCCTTCCCTGAGGCTTCTGAGAGCTCCGATCACAAGGCCTCCCCTCTATGCACCGCACTGGCTCAGGGCCCTGCTGGCAGCGGTCCTGGATCTCCAGGCTTACGGAGACCACGCAGAAGGAGGCCCTTCTCTGACTTCTGACTGGTTCTAGAGCGGGGGCTTTCCTCCGGTTCGCTTCTTGCTCTGCGGGTAGTTTGAGCCAAAGTCAATCAGCAGAGGAAAAACCTCCCGCCTAGGAAAGCAGGAAACAGCGTGGCGGCCTGTGGGATACCTGTGGCCGCTGTTTTCCTCATCAACACCGTCATCATCCAAGGGCGCTTGGTACCTTAGTGTCCTACGTACTGAACTTCTGGAATTGCCTCTTCAAGGTCCTTCTACTGGCGCCAAGCTGTTGACAGAAGTGTGGGGCTTGCATAAAGGGCTCTTGTCTTCCTCGTTCAAGCCCGCAAGCTGCTTGTCTGAAAGTTAGTCCTGTCCTGAGGGGTCCTGCGGTTAGGTTTTCACCAGGTGCTGGAAACGCCACTTCAGAGCCGGCTTCCCCATCGGGACCAAGTGTTCAGTGATAGGTTTCTTGAAAAGGGCAAGTTCTACTCTTAGCCAGAGTTCAAGGGTGAAAGGGGGTGAATCAAAAAAAAAAAAAAAAAAGAGCCTCTTAGGGGCAAATATTGCCCACGGAGATCAAAGCATCTGCCCCTTCAAACGGACTCGGTTCCACCAGAAGTTCAAAGAGGATCCACAGACAGAGTAGAACATATTTGGAGGATAAGAATGTCAGCTCTTCTGGTCTGTGAATGGGAAGACAAAGTTTGGTCTCCCCAGTGCTGTAGGATAACAGCATGATGGTTTAAGTGAACGATGAATAAATGAGGGTCAATGAGTGAGGACAAAGTCCTATGATTTCAGACCTCAACTTTTGAACTTCAGTTTTGACATCTACAGCCTGAGCAACTAACATAGACTTACCTTGGGACTCAAATCAATTCAAATGTTAGTAGTAAGCCATTATATAAATGACAATATTATTGTTTCTATTAAGGTGATGTTTGTCTAGGATTATTTAAAGGCCTTCTTTTAAAGTTTATTTTTTGAGAGAGGAAGAGAGAGACCTCGAGCTGGAGAGGCAGAGAGAGGGGAGACAGAAGATTTGAAGCAGCCTCCGCACACTGACAGCAGGGAGTCTGATGTGGGGCTTGATCTCAGAACCTGAGATCATGACCTGAGCCAAAGTCAGACATTTAACCAACTGAACCACCCAGGTGCCCCTTGAAGGCATTTTTTCTTGAAATATAATATGATGCCAATATGCAGGAGCCAAAGCTTGGAGAAGACTGATCAAGGATTGAGTCCTGCACTGTTAACCCTGGGGAAGTTCCATGTCTCTCTAAGCTCATCTCTAGGATAAAAATAATGCTGATATTACAGAAATGTAAAAGGGAACAAATGAAAGCATGGAAAAGGTATTACATGAATGAGGTTACTCACTAGTGGTGAGCATTACATAGAGTAATACATGTAAAATGACTCTATCTAATGCCTGGCTTACAGGAAATATTTACTGAATTATAACGATGATTGTTCTAGTGATAACTAAGACACTGATCTTTGGAGCCAGACACCTCGCCTCGAACCCCAGATCCTCTACAGCCCAGTTCTGTGGCCTGAGGCAAGTTTTCCCTAACCTATTTGTGTTTCTGTTTTGGTTCTTTATCTGTATAATGAGGATAAAAATCACACTTACCTCAGAGGATTACAAAGGTTGTTAATGAGGATTAAATTGGATAAAACATGTAAAGCTTTCAAAATGGTGTCTGGCACGTGGAAAGTGCTCATTTCCTACTAGCTATTCTTCTTCTTATCTGAGGTTCTCATTGGGACATTTATATGAGCACAGGGTGAGTTGAGATTATAAACTCCCAACGGCAGAAATCATATATCTTCTTCTGATATTCATTCCTTGAAGCTTTAGCTCAGTACCTGGCTCCCTGTAACTATTGGGAATTACTACAAATGACAGTAACAGTAATAACGATGGCGGCAGGTATAATTACACCTTGAGAAAAGTTGGGACACCAACTTCTTGAGAAAAGTTGGGACATCGTTTGGTTAGAATCACAAAATTGACCGTGTGCTGTCTGTTGTCTGCGTATTTGAAGGCCTGACTCTGGGTCATTTATTAGTCACTGACTGACAGGAAACAGACAGACACTATGAGTTATTGGTCATGTCGCTTGTTATATTCCTGGAGCAATCTGGCTGATGCCTTTGGTCCTCCTACCTGACCCCCTACCATGGGCAGCAGCTCTGAACACTCTGAGGCCACAGTTCATCTGAAGCATGAATTGAAATGGGCCCAGGGAGTTAGCACTGAAACCAAGGGGGAACGTTTGAACAGTAACTTGGCAGACCTCGTGACTACATTCATCTTCCTGTGACAGATCCCTCATTGGCAGAGGCCATTGGTGACATTAAAAGCAGTGTCCCGTAGGTTCGAGCCCCGCGTCGGGCTCTGTGCTGACTGCCAGCTCAGAGCCTGGAGCCTGTTTCAGATTCTGTGCCTCCCTCTCTCTCTGACCCTCCCCTGCTCACGCTGTTTCTCTCTCCTAGAAATAAATTAAAAAAAAAAAAAATTAAAAAAAAAAAAAAGGAGTGTCCCTTAAATTTAACCTTCTGTTTCCGGTCACCAGATATGTAGGATGCTGACCTTCTAGGTGACACCTCTTTAGATAACTCTCATCTCTTGCCTGAACCCTTTTGACTTGGGCCCCATGCTGAACACATTCACTGCCTGTATTTCTGCCACTCCTAAGAAACAGCACCAGAATACTGGGAGCTCCCATGAGGAAAACACTTCATCTCTTTAGCACAGCGGCAAAGCACCTGCTACAGAAGGCCACTTTAACCGTCATCATAATGAAAATGCCTGAAACCCAGGACAGGAATTGATTTAGGTCATCTGGGAGATCTGGATTGCCGTGGGCTCTGAAGTGACTAATCAAGTGTCTAGATCATCTTGCGCCTTAGATCCCTCATCTGAAAATTGGAAATACTAGTTCTAAGTTATGTAAATGAAAGGTTATTAACTTGGAGAACAGAAACATATTCCTTGTTATTTCATTGCTATTAAAATGAAGGCTTTTCTGATTTCACAGGAGAAGGAAGAGAAGGAAAGGAGGAGAAATACTATGCAGCTAGCCTATTGATTTTCTTTTGTTTTATTAATATTTGCCTATTTCTTCACTAACACACATGATTTTAAGAATATTAATAGTCTAGACAAAAGCTATTTGAATTTTAACGTGTTATAGACTACACGTATTTGCTCTGCAACAATAATGTATAGAAAGGCAAGGTCGTAGAGCGAAGCATTTTCTGACTGAAGTCATCAGTTACCTAAGGGTCTGCTTGAAAGTGTCAGGCCAGGTGTCACTAGGCATTACTGTCACACCCCCTACTCAGTGGTGGTGTGACACCGGCATTGTCACTCATTCAATTATAATAACCCTTCCAATGAAAACTGGCAATCAGACAATCATACAAATGCATAAATATAAATAGGAAGGTGTGCTGCATGGAAAGAAATAGGTTAGAGTGGGAGCACTTGACCCAGTATGAGTTGAAACAGCAAAATGAGTATTAACCAGTGTTAAGAGAGTAGTATAGGAAGGAGAGCATTTGAGCAGGGAGGCCAGGGGCCAGCAGACCTGGAGATGGGAGGAAGCAGGGTGTGATTTAAAAGAACCTGAAGCAGCCCAGTATGGGTGGCACATGGAAGGCAAAGCATTGCATGAACTGGGTGAGGTTGGAGAGGAGAGTGGACAGTGGTGAGGCTGCAAAGTGGTCTTTTTCCAAAGGGCCATGGGAAGCACTGAGGGGTTTTAGGCATGAGACCGACATGATCAATATAGGGGCCATGAGTTGGAATTCTTTGAATTTCACCCTACCAACTTCTTAGGGTTATAGGTCCAAACATAGACACTCAAGAAAAAGTACTCTGACACAAAAAATATCACACCATACTTACAAATGTATTTGTATTAATTTAACTAGGTTTCAACCCTTTAATTCCCTGCAGGTGATAAAAAATCAAATGTATGGACACTTCTAGAATGGAGGGTAAATCTCCATTTCACCTCAGACCTCCCCCACCCTTTACAAAAGCTGCTTTTGAGAGGTGCTGCTAAATTGTGTCCCAAACACGTTACTATTCTTAATATTAATCTTACTACTTTGGGTGGGGGGAATCAGTAAAACCAGTTAATGCTATTGCCTGTAACCCCTGTCCACGGCACTGGAAGGAGCCTTGCACATTTTAAGTGAGAAACCTGGTCTTTCAAAATGAGATCTATGAGGAGAGCTGCCTCATTCACAATTCAATGCTCAGCAACTGCTATCAGCACGTCAAGAAGTGCTGCCATATAAGAATGCCATAGACTGGAGGGCTGAAACAACAGGCATTTATTTTCTATTAGTTCTGGAGCCTGAAAGTTCAAGATCATGGTGCCAGCTTCTGGTGAGCCCTCTTTCTGGCTTGTATGTGGCCACCATCTCACTGTGTGCTCATATAACCTCCTCTTGGTGGTTGCTCCGAGAGCTCTCTCTCTTCTTCTTAAAAGGCCACCAATCATATTGCACTAGGGATCCACCCTCAGGAC